GTCCAGCTTACCCGCTCTTGTCTCAACCGTTCTTCTTCGTCCAGTTTTGCGCCAAGTCTTTGACGCATCCTTCGTTTCCTCACAAATATAATCATTACGACCACGGCTGCAATGAGAAGGACTAAGATAGCAGCTGCAACGGCGAGAATAATAAAAAGTTTCTTATTGGACAAAGCTTTCGCTTTAGTCGGCACATTCTTCCCTAAACAGAGCTTCCCTACATCTATCACTGGTCCGCAAACATTGCGTCAAACCTCCTACTACATGTGCGACCCCTGCATCTGTGGTTGCTTCAATATCATCTGTTCCTGGACCAAAGAACGTAGTGTTCGCTATAGTTTCCGCTATAGTAGGTATGAATGTTGTGATAGTCGGCCCGGCGGTGCTGTCCTCCTCATCATACTGATACTTGTCTAGCCATCCTCTTTTGATTCTCCTAGCTCCTGAACACAGCTTAGATAGCGTTGGTATATGAGAAAGCAGTATAGCGTACTAGACCAGGGCATAGTTGCAACCGCCCGATAGTGGCCAAAAAACTGGAAGTGATCCTACTTTTCTAAGTCCATTGACTATGACCACGGATAAGAATGTCGATGAGGTAAAGTTTCTTTAGTTCCTTGGAGATACGACTTTGAGAAACTCTCGAAGCCAGGTGAAATGGGGTTGCTGAAATTCATAATCTTTTTATGGCCCTGTCAATCGCGATGCGAGGCAGTATTCCTGTTGCTTGTAACTGCGCAAACTCAGGAGTGAGTAATGAGCACACGGAATGTAGCACATTTTATCGACTCATTTTAAAATTTGAATACACCAAGCATTTGCTCTACGAGTGTTGCGTTTGAAAGGCGAGTGGCCAGATCGCTTGGCTGAAATCGCGAGTCGTATATCCAGGGCCTAAGCAATCGGCAATGTCCTAGAGAGAAGCTCAAGGCCGATGCGATCCGGAAATGTTGCGGAACCGACCTCCCTGTTGCGGCCACCCGTGCCATCGATTCCGGGCCCTATCTACGGCGTGATTCGTTTTCCTCTACCGTGGATCTACCCTAATCCGAAGTTTCTCATTTTTCCATATGGGTGCATGTTGACGCACAGTCCAAAAGTAAAAGGCTTGGATGTAGTGGGCTCCACAAAATCGTTCTAGTTCCTTTGCAGACAAAAGCCGCGGAGATAGATTAGAAACAGCTCATAAATGCGACTTATTGATGCAAAACAAAGTGATAAACTTGGTACGAAACGAAAACAAGTGACCTATTCCTATTAAATTCAAGTGAGATCAGTTCTGCGATTTTTGCGTATGACGCGGTCGTCTGCACATGAGTAAGTTTGCTGACGTCTCGCTCTCGCCAAGATGCAGATGTGGATGTATTCAGACTCGTTCACTACATCTACTAGCACATCCGCTACTATAAGAACCACTAGTGTTAAGCAAGAGTGGGTTTCGCAGCAATAAGAAGTGACGCAGCAGAAACTCACATTGCAGAGAAGAGAAAGACAGTGCCGTCACCATCATAATAGTGGTGGTTGTGGTGTTCTTAGTTATTTTCTTACTCGGAGTTACTTGGGGCTTAGTGATAGAGCATAGAAGAAAAAAGCGAAAACTGATAATGTTGAAGAAAATGGAAATTCGCGATGAAGCAAGGAGAAGACTAAGGATGAGAAAAAGAAGGGTAAATTCACCCAATCTGGTGACATAGTCGGATGATAAATTTAGGAAAGAGCTAGAAGAAAAAAGAAAAAAGAAGCAAAAAAGCGACTACAGCAAGCCGATAACCAGGTTAGAGTCAAAGGCTTTCCACAAGATCTTATAATTTAGCTGTTGCAGCTGAAACAAGCACTAGAAGAGTATCTCACCGCCCAAACCGAGACTTACGAGGAGCCTGATTCAGGGACCGGAACAGCTGGACAAATCGGCTCTTCTGGGTCCGCCTCGCCTGCGACAACCTCAGCTGCCGCGCAGTCCGAGTCGGCTACCAAAATTCCAGCGGTAAAAGTCTCAGAGGCGAGTGTACCCGCTTTTCGAGGTACAACACCTAAGTCTGAGAAAGTTGGAGTAGTTGTAGGCGGAGATCAAATTGCTCTTTAATGTAGCCAAGAATTGTTTGAGTTGAGGATAGGATTTATGACTTTCAATAAGATGTAATACTTCGTTTCATGCAATAGATTAACACCTGTTTTATTACTTTCGATTGTGCTTACTCGTATGTTTGGCATGAAAATAAAGAGGTGATATTTTTGCATTTTCCAGTAGTAGGAGTGAAGAAGTGTTGTATACAGATAGAAAAATCAGTTTGAAAGTAGCTTTCTGTGCTTGCTTGAACCGAGTAATGTTGAATGGGTAAAATGCGGCGGTTACCAGCAATTCTTGTAAGGGAACGGAAATGTGGAAACAACCAATCAAGAACGAGGCTTACTATATTCATCAGCCAATCTGAGACAGAACGTAGCCAGCCTACGTAACTCCTCACGTTCAAAAAGCGATAAATTTGATTTGCAGATTTTCAAATCTTGAAATATGCACGCAGCCAAGACATATCCATAAAGTCAACTAACTAATTAACTAACTAGATGACTTTTGTCGAATGCTGCGTGCGGCTTAGAAACGTCTAGTACCAATGAAGGCGGATGGTCGCTGTGTGTGCGATGCGATTTTTTCTACGTGTGGGGTGTATCGTTCCGCCCGGCCCTAAAGTCGGTGTTTTATCCTTTTTTTCAGATTTTTTATCAAACCCATTTTTGAGAGCTTCTAGTCGAAAAAATGCATTAATTTTGTTTCCGTGTTTAAAGCAATCTTTGAATCATGCACAGGAGGATACGTGAATATCGTGCAGAAAACAATATGAAGAATCAAGATGTATGTACAGTACATTTGTAACGCAAACTCAAAATGGAAAAAAGAGCGTACAGTGCAGACTACTGTTCAAAACACGCCTTACGTAAAATATT